ATTTACAATTTCCATTTATAGAAAACAATTATTGAGACAATAAACAATCTTTGGTTACAGAATTTTTAGCTGAAGGTTCCTATTTATTCTGAAGATGTCTATCAGATTTTCATTTTAAGGAAAGCTAATAAACTAAACATTGTGAAGTATTCTTTTAAAACTGTAACATAAACATGCATAGCTCCTTATCTTAATTGTATTATGTGTCTATTCTGCATGGGCCTCCCCAAGTCCTCAAGATATGGAGCATGGCCATAAATCAACTAAGAAAGCAAGTAGTTCTACAACCGGTTAGACTGCGATCCAGACAGTAATGATGTTATTTGGAGGTCACACTCCTTGTCAAAAGCTCAGACTTGGCTGTGTGCCACGCTCTGATGGGTATCTGTGTGCACTCTGAGTCATTACAGCAGTTCTGTAAATAGAAACCCAACCAAAGGAAATATCCTAGATCAAATCGGAGCTCAAGTATTTCTCTCTAACAACTTCCTAAGCTTAGAGCACAGCCCAGCTACGTAGAGGCATTTTTCCCTCTGAGAATAAGTGAGCTGCTGACATGATGATGACTCAACCACACCTTTTCTGGGCTCATGTGATCAACAAAGGTCATTTTCAAAAATTGTACATTCCTGTTTTACAACCAGAAAAAGAGAATCACAGAAGTCTCTCCAGACATGTCCCATTAGCACTGATGATTTAATGTTCCAAGCAAGGTATGCCGTTTTAGATACCTGCTCTATTTTCCCAATGGTTGACACGCTTTCCTCAGAGTTCAGCCTCCCCACCGTCAAATAAAAGGAATAAACAATTGGCCAAAGGAGACTCTCTTTGGAAGCAATGCTACGAAACTATGCAAAAGGCTACCATAACTTTTCAATGTACTTCCAGAGTCCCAAAGGCTGCATTCAGACAATGGTAATGCTGTTAATCTTGATGTTACGAGATTCAATGGCACTTTTGCTACACCCTTTTTTTAAGATCATGCACATCTGAAATTCTTTTTCTGTCTTAGGTCAGGTTTCGTTACACAGGTCCAAATATATCATTTTTGTGCAGAGAAAATATGATTTGCAAGTGTCTTTTATCTGCGATACAGATGTACTGTATGTCTGTGGAAACAATACATTCTTATTTGATTGGGAATTTATGCTAGAGAGCAACACAAAATACTAGAGAATTCCAATGTAAAAATAGAAATGAAAAGGTTAGAACTTTTTTTAATCCATGAGAGGCATTAAGCAATATTTAACTATTAGCAAATACATAATTTGCAGAGAAAAACTGTAATTGCACTTTACAATAAACACACCATCCCAGTGGAAGTGACAAAGGAAATTAGTGACCACTGATTGGAAGCCCTAAATACCTGTCTGTTCGAGGCAGCAAAGGACTTGGTAATGTTACAGAGTTCTATATTCCAGTTCTGGATTTAAACCTAGAGCTACAGCAGATCATGACGCATCGCATAATCATGAAATAGAATACCCCGCTCAAAGTAAACTTCTATATCCAGTTAAAAGACAGTCATTAGAATTGACAAAATTTATTCTGCATTCAATCTTACTGAGCTTGAGATGCTTATAAAAGTTTAAAAAATGTCAGTTTAAAGATGTACAGAGCTGGTCGACATACTCTTTGATACCCGCAGCAGTTATTATGACACAGCAAATGTCTGTAAACTGTATATAATTTAGCTTCCACTACCCATCAATTAGAATTTTACCACAGATGAAGAATGGTCTGGAAGTTTTAGAGAAATAACGAATATACATAATATATTTTCTGTTTCTGCATTTCATGATGTTGTGTGTGTGTGTGTTTGTGTGTGTGTGTGTGGTTGTGTGCCATCTAGGCACAGTTCTAAGGTGTAAAGGATTTACACCACATCTCTGAATGCATCTCCAATGACAGTTACGTGCAGCCGTCGCACAGTTGTATGTCATTTGTTTCTGCAGGAAGTCGAAGTCTGGTCCAGGAATGTCTAGGAGGCCCCTCGCAGTGACATCACCCTGCTGTGGATGACTCTCTGGAGCCGCATTGTTGTCCAAAACCAAGCAATCTGGTCATGACCTCTGCTGAAGCACACTATGACGCAATTCTTTTTAACTGGTGGGAACACCTTAAACTGCAAGATCTGCAGGTGGTGACTTAAGCACTATTAATGACTTGACAGATGGACCTTTAAAGTTCTTGGTTTTGGGGTCTGTGTCATTGATTGAAAGTTCTGTTTAAAAGTTGGTTTATTTGGAGGTAACACATTTTTAGGTCATGAATTACTCATGTTCATGGTATTACTCATAGTTCAACTGGTTTTAGTTTGAGGTGTATTTTGAATTAAATATGTTAAGGAATCCTAATATGAATGCTGAGCAATTTTCTGTATTAGCTGTAGCGTAGCAGCAGACACCAGAGTTGCTCAGATTTTCTTTTATCTGGAATATCTTTGATTAGCTGTAGTTAAAACAAAAGCAAATATTGCAATCTGCACTCTGGTTCCATGAGCAAGTGGCAGCCCACTGCTCCCCAAAGGGATAGGTCAAATGCGGATGTGAATTTCTCCATTGTGAGATCAATAAAGTTCTAAAAAAAAAAACAACAATCTGTTTTCAATATGGTTAAATTTTTTTAGAATTATGCCATCTTGCATTAAGTTTACCATTAAGTTTTATTGATGAATAGGCCATTAAGATTCATGTGAAGCCCACACCTTCTTAGCTACCGACAGTAAAAAGTAAAAAGTGTTATATATATTACATTTTAAAAATCCTGATACCTGGAAAACATGAAATGTTTCAAAGTCTGCACAATAGGGTGAGCTCTTTATGTCAAAATAAGGCAAGAAATGTGGACTGGCTGGCAACGCAGATAGGATTTTCCGATTTCAATAAAGTTGGTCAGAGCTGCATGCTAAATTTCAGCATTTGATCTAATTGCAATCATATATTTTTTTCAACTTAAAGATTTTTCATTCACTAGTTGTAGTTCAGAAGTACTAGTGAACAGGTACTACTTATTTACTAGTACCTGTTTGAATGTTACTTGTAACATGCAAGCAGGCCACTTGAAAGACCACTTTTACCCTCTTAAAGGCATACTATGCAACATTTTCAGTTAATTAATGTGTTCCATAACGTTGTGGATGATTAAATGAGTAATTTCAGGTCAAACAAAAGTTTTCTCGGCCACCCTGGTGGTCTGTAGGGGAAATACCGTACTTGCAATTGCAGCAGCCCTCGGGCCCGCACCCACAGGCTCAGAAGTCTCGTGCATCTCGAGAGTCGGTCTTGCTTTAGGGCGAGAACTGCTACACGCCCCCAGTGAAAGGCATGCTCGTTGCTAGCGCGGTGGCGATATTTGTGCAGTTATCATGGCGGAACCGGAGAGAAAACAGCGAAAGCCCATGTCGGAGCAGGCAAGAAAGAGGAAACGGCTCTCTCCCGCAGTAGACATGGTGATTCGTTGCGTTCGCCTGTCTGCTAAGCTCAAAACAACCTAGCTTGACGGAGAAACCAGGAGAACAGCTGAGCATATTTACGACAGTGCACTTTTACTTTTGCCCTCTGGGGGGAGCCTCGCTGGAAAATCAACACCGGTTGCATAGTATACCTTTAAATGTGCCAGTTTAATAGGTCTCTTTGCAGATAATCTTTTCCTGACTGAATCATCATTTGATAAGTCACTATATTTATCTTTATAAACTCAAATGAAGTAGGAGACCTGCTATCACTACTTATGTCTTAGTTGTTTTAACGACTGCCTGGTGCTCTCTGATATGTTGTGATGATTTTATGATTTAAATCATGCAATAATAGTATAATAAACAGCAATTCAGAAAACAGCTATACAGAAAAGGCAAAACTTTATGCTCTTTAATTACTCACTTATATTTAATTATCAGCATCCGCCTGCTGGGAACATACGGATAATGTACAATAAATTTAATTTAAATTGCTTCCTCTAATGCATTAAGTTTGCTCTTAGTGTAATAGATAAATAACTCGTACATGAAAATGCTGTTGCATAAAACATGACTCTGTATTGGTGGTCCGCATGTAAATACTGCGGTGGTCTGAACCTTGCCTTGGCTCTTGCCCAGCATCTTAAGGTCCCGCTGCCAGCTGTGGCCCCACTGTGGGAAAGAGCTCTGTGTTATTGTATGTACGATGAATTGCTAATGACACATTTGTTTATACGTAATCTTTAAATAATGGAAAGGTTAAATATTTGGCCTCAAATAATAATGATAATTCATGTCCTTACCACCACAAAACTAAAACTTCAAAATAAGCCAATGTGTTGTGAAATGATTGTATTTTGTGGAAATCTGGAAGATTTTGCTTGCACACACCCTTTTTGTGGTGAACATTACTCAGAGTTAATTGCACCACATTATACGCCCCTTAGATTAGAAAAGCCACACATTCCTTTGAAATGCTGTGAAAGTTGGTGGAAATTCAGACACACTGATTAGAATTTCGCATACTGTGTGAGACTGTGGGCTCTGCCCATCATTGTCGAGACTTCAGAAGGAGCACGGAAAGTCTGATCACCATGATGAACCTCTGGCAGTAAATTAAAACGCCTGACATTTGAGGAGGAATCAATTTGTGCCTACATGCGTGCCCCCGCCGTCAGCATCTTCATGGGAAACTCCCATTCAAATCCCTTCTCCTAATAGAAAGAACTTTCCCCACACTGTGATGCTGACCACAGAGCTGTCACTCCCTTATGACAGATGTTCGCCTCGCAAGAATTATTAAACTCTCCCACAGTCACTGTCAAAGAAAGATTAGTTCTCAAATGCAGATTTTTAAAGAGGAATAGAGGAAAAAAATCAGGACATGTGAAGATGAAACACAGGAATGCAACATAACAAACATCTCTTTAGGGCGCCAGCAGATCCTGACTGACAGACCTTGGTGGTGCCTGGCATGTAAAACACAGAGAGGTCAGGTCCATTCACTGACTTTCCTGTTTACATGTGCTGTGATTTGTCTCAGGCTGCACTTGCCGGCTCAGCAGGAGGAGTGTTTATACATGGGTGACTGGCGAAGAGGGGAGGAGAGGCGAAACTTGGCGAGGTAATTTGAAATCCCAAGGTTTGCATGTGAAGGTGAAGGGTGTGCTGCAATCACAAAACAAAGACATAAAGAATCACAGGTTGGCTGGGAAGTTTCAAGGTTTTCAATCAGTTGAGAAGTTTAGAAAAGTCAAATGTTTTACATCTGAGAGAACAAAACAAAAAAAGAGATAGATAGTTCTTAAATTTTATGAATATGATAAAGTCCATGTCAATGAGACAGCTGAGGGTAAGTTGAAAGTGAGAGTTAGATATTTGTAAAATATTTAGAATAAGAAAAAAATAATACTATATATTCAGTTCAGTGTATTTTGAGTTTTGTCCGGGAACTAACTCTCAAGAGATGTTGACTTCCTAATTGAAGCTGAGTGACTTAAAGAGTATTTACACACGTGACATAAATTACAATCCGTCACCTTCCGAAACATATATCCTGATATAGGCTTTTAGCTAGCCATGCGTACAGTTGTGCATTGTACGGCCTTTCCTAAAAAAATGAAAAATTTTCGAACTGTTCTGAACTGGGCCGCCATCTTGAATCTCCTTCTTATCTCACGTAATCTCGCACTAAACTCACATCTCGCAAATCCCGAGAGTTTTGCATCCTATTGGTCGATGTGAAGCAGCGCAGAGGGGCGCTGTTATTGGCGGATTATCTGATACCCCTAAGGACAATTTCATTGACAGGAACAAGCAAGTTGCACTGTTTGCAAGCAGGGAAGCTTGAAACTTTTAAAGGTTTACGAAAACTAATGGAATGCCTGATACTATGGGATTATTTTGGAGGGTTTTTTTGTTCTTTGGAACAATACCATCTGTTTGTGACGGGTTCATTGTCAGAATTTCTGTCTGTGTATGTGTTTTTTCTGTGTTTGTCTCCCTTCCTCCACCAGGAGGCGCCTGGTTCTGGTCCACCTCCCTACACACCTGCTGCGAGTTACCTCGTTAATGGAGCGCTCTTAAGCTGCTGATTGCCACTACCTCGACGCCCAAGGGTTTGCCAGTTTTGGGTGCTCTAGCCAATCTGAGTTTTGCTGAGTCAAACTGAGTTCTTGTCAACCTGAGTTTTAATCTTGTTTTTTTGTATTTGCCTCTCGGCAGGAAGTCATCCTGCAAACTGGATTTTTCTGACCTTCTCTCCCTGGAGGGATCATCTGAGCTTCAAGCTGAGTTGAGAATTTAAACTGGAGGTTTGAATCAACTTTTCCTCAAGAGATCGTTTGAGCTTCACACTGAGCAAGGGATTCATCTCCACTACGACCTGTTCAAGTACCGCAGGAAATCAGAGTGGCAGTCAGCTTCTCCGTTCACCTACAGACAACCGCATTCTGGCGGTTGTCTGTAGGTGAACCCTGTCCGCCCTCCACCGAATCAGACAAACACTGGAACTACCGCACAAAGACTGGAATCAAAGAGTCAACAACTTCTCTGGAAACGTGAGTCAGCAATCTATTACCGGTATACCTCCTTAAGTTCGAGAATCAAATTTCCCACCAAGCCTGAACTAACCGCAGTGTCTACCCCTCACCTTTCAGTTCCGGTTGAGCAGTGTTCAGAGCAACACTGGATTCTTCACAATCTCCTAAATAAACCTGTTAAACTTTTTCCCTGGTCTCTCTGTTTGGTCTTCTGCATTTGGTTCTGATCTTTAGTTAAATCATGACATTCATGAGGCGTCATGAAGCATTTCGACACACTTGCAAACTATTGATATTGTGTCATACTGATTCACTGAATACTAACAACTGCTGGACATTTAAAATTCCTACAGGCAGCCTCTTTGACAGACTACACTGACTCCGATTTGATACCTTATAATATGATTTAAACAATTGTTTGCGATTATGTATTATTTCATATATATAATTCGAATTGAATATATGTTTTATATTTTTAGATATAATCTATATATGTGAAAACACAACGGAATTTTTTCGGTGAACATGTGAATAAGGATGTTTGTGGACTAGGATTTATTTATTTATTTATTTTTCAACATACCTGATTAGGAGTTTTTGAATTTGGGGACAATGAATAGAGGCAAAAAAAGGGAAGAACCACAGACAGAGCAATCTCCAGAAATGTGACTTGCATAAAATTTTGCGTTACAGATTAACAACATTGAATTAGTAATCACTGGTTTTAACCTCAAATTACTGGGAATATCCAGCGATATTAATTTAAAGTAAGGTATCAATTTAGAACTCTTATTTTATTACTTTCTTATTGTTCTTTCAATCCGTATTAGATACTTTTTTTATGTGTGTGTTTCAAAGAATTAAATTACAACTCTGACATTTAACAATTCCAAGATCAGCAGGGATTAAAATCCAAATTAGTCACACTGCGCAAAGCCTGAAGTTGCTGTACACCAAGGTGTGTACCCTGTGAAATATTCCTAGCTAAAAGCTTGTCCTGATTTGACATCTTTTATTGAAGTTATCACAGTAAGTTAGTGAGCTGACACCAAAACAATAGATCAGAAATGTAGAAAAAAAACAAAAAACAAAGCTCCATAAGAAACTAAACACAGAATCCAACCATGTGTTTCATAAAAGGTGAAAAAGGAGGAATTCTAGCCAAGTTCAATTTCTGTAAAGCTCTAATTCCCATTAGGGTCAAATCAGGGTTCATTCATGTGCAGACATGCATAATCTATGCCTATTCAACAGCTCACAGACATTCTAATCTCCACAAAAATAATGGAGAATCCACTGCTGGATTTAGTGCTCTGCTGGTATCATTATAAATGGTGATTATGCAATAACATGTTAATATAAGGTTATCTAAAAAACAAAACAAATTAGGAATTGATAATATAATTGCTTCTTCAGCTAAATTCTCTGCCCAAAGAATTCTTCAAGATTTTACACTTTGGCATTTAGTTTAATCTCTTAAAAACTTTGGACATGTGTCCTGAGGCGACAGAAAGTCAGGTCAGACGATTCTAATGAAGTCCACTGTCTGGGGACTGGCGATGTCAGTCTGCCTTCCGGCATTCTTATCATCACCCACACACCGATTAAACTGGATCCTGTGGAGGAAGTTGAAAATGTCAAAGGCTATTAAAACTGCCGCTGCCTCTTTATGCGCTTCTCAGAATTCTAACCTCAGACTAAGACGAATTCACTCCTCATCTTTTGCTGCTTTTAGGGAGAAAAATTAAAATCTCAAAAAGACAAGCTGGCTGTGACCCACTGCCGAAGGGAGTGAGAACCATGTGAAAACCTGTTATTTTAGGATTCAGCCTAAGACCACCTGCACAATGAGGCATTCACGTTTGTAAGAGCAAGTTGTTGGCACTGATTAAGCCTTGTTTCCTCTTTTAATAGTAATGATATCCTGTTCTGCATGCTTTTCTTTCAAAGGGACTCAGGTAAAGCATGGGTTGGGCTTCCGTTTCTCGACACATTCAAACGAACCGATGGCTTCTCTTTGTGCTGTTGCATAGAAAGGCTTTTACAGAGAGAGCCCTTTAAAGAAACTATATGCACTTCATTTAAAGCCGTCACAACAATTTTCTCTTCAGGCTGCATCATTTTAACAACAAACAATATTTTGCTTGTGTTGTTACTATGGCTGTCCTAAAGTCATTGTGGGTATTTTTTTGTCACTATAAAGGAGCATTTAATTCTCTCACCATTCAGTCCACCAGAAACTGCATTCAGATGTATTCTATAGTTATAGCATGCTTTAACCAAACCTTTGTAGTTATTCCATTTTACTTTTGAGTCAAATATTGTTTATAGAGTTCATGGAGCCTTTTAAGAAACTTATCTTATTTTTCCTTTGGATAGATTTTTTTTTTTTTATTAAAGGAAAAGTCCGGTCACATTCTGAATTCAAACTTTTGAAAGTACTTTTAAAAGTACATTAAATTATTACATACTGTTCAATAACTGATAAGTGTTTTTAATTAAGAGTAATGTCATTTGAATGTGTTTTAATGGAGACATCCATGTTTGTCAAAGAACACTACTGCTACCTACCGGTTTGTGACGTCACGGTGCGGTATCGGTTGTTGATCAAGTCCCAGTGCTGTATCTGGTGTTTGTCACAACGTGCTATTATCCATGATGGTGACGACCTGTGCACTATGCGAAGCAGAGAGTAACGGATTGGTGACGTGATTTTTTTCTCTGGTCAGAAGTTCGATGGCAAATGCTCCCTCTCCATGTTGGCAACGACAAACCCGTCCGAGGAGGATCATGAATTAGATAGTGGAAATAAGTACTTTTTTTCCCGCTTTTATCAGATGTATTACAGTACAACATTCAGAACTCGGTTTAACAATAGCTCTCACGAATTTCAATGGTGAAGTCCTCTGGAACTCTTCAATAATTGTTGTTGATTGCAGGTGTGTCTAGTAGTTCCCATTGATTTTGCTTGTAAAGTGGGGAGAATGGCGCTAGGCTTAACGCACCGTGACATCACTGCCGGAAGATGTCAAGAGTGAGGTGTTACTATCTTTGGGCAAAAATGGCCGTTCCCGGACTCAGTGATCCCAACAAAAAATGTTGTTGTTTTTTTTTGACTGATTAATGCTAAATTCATTAAATCACCACAAACGTGTTAGTTTTAGGTACAAATAATAATCCATTGGTTATTCCTTGCTCACTGGACTTTTCCTTTAAATGCAGTACTCTAATGCAGCTTATTTCTTGTCACAACTGATTCCAAATACATGCTGTAATAATTCAACACTGCAAAAAATCTAAAGCTAGATAAGTCATTTTTTTCTTAAAATAAGTGCATTTGTTCTTGAACTGAGGAGGTAAAAGAGACATTTTGCCAATGGAACAAGACAATTTACACTTAAAATAAGAAAACACTATTGCATTGTCTTATTTCAAGTACATATTATCTAATTATCTTATTTTAAGAGTAAAATTACTCATTCCATTGGCAAATTTTCTCATTTACCTACTCAAATCAAGGGTGAATACACTTATTTAAGGAATTTTTCACTTATTTCTAGATCGTTTTTGCAGTGAACCTACTGTCTCTGGACATCACAAGCTCTCACTATCCTCAGTTCCCTGGCTTACAAAGCAGCCTCAATGCTAATGTAGTGTCAAATACATAGCAAAATACGAAAAAAAAAAAGTTAAATAATGAAAAGTTGTTGTGAATGACTATAACTTAAAACCTAGAACACATGT